TATTGAAGAATTTTACAACAGTTGCAAAGCTGCTTTCTCTGCTGAACGCAGCCATTGAGATCGAAGATTGCAGATTGAAATTTGACCAATGAGGGTAAAGGAATTTTAGGTCCTATTGTTTTGATTGGTCAAATTTCAATCTTTCAATCTTCAATCTCAATCTTCAATGCCTAGTCTGATTCCGGCCTTAGGGCCACTGTCACCAAGCTCAGTTAACTTAACTAGCCAGTTTGCTTCAAACAAAATGATAAATGCGATTGGTCAATTCCGATGGACTAACTGGCCAGTTAAGTTAACTGAGCTTGGTGACAGTAGCCCTTAATGGATTATTTTTAATATTTCTAGGAACCTTCATGAGAAAATGAAAGATCAGAGATACCTTCAAAAACGGCCAATCCATGAACATCTATGCATGATCAGCTTAACAATGGATGTATATCAATTGCCCACATCACTAATTAGCTAATTTAACATAATAGCTGCGTTCGGAAACGTCGCTCGGATGCCTCCGATGCCTCGGATTCATCATCTGTCCTTGTTTAACATTTAATGTTAAATAATAATAATAGGCTACGGATCCACTTGATGCTACGAATGCTTCGAAGCATTTTTTGATTGGTCAGTTAGTAAAATTCTTTTTTCCGATTGGTCAATCAAAAGTTTCGAAACATTTGTAACGTCAAGTGACCGCACATAATCTCATTGGTGAAGCAATGAAAAATTACTAGGAACAGGCCGATGTGAGTGGTGTGTGCAATTGAACTGTATGCAAGTGCGTCGCTCCCCTTAACAATGTATTTCAAATATTTTCAATTATAAAAATCGAAGTACCAGAAAGAATAATAGATTTATTCACTAATAATGGATTTATTCACGTTGTTCGCAATTCACAAAAAGCTTTGCACTTAGGACGATATTTATAGTTCTTTCTTATTTCAAGACTGTCTTAAGTAATGTCTTAAGATGCTAATATGGCCTTCTGATTGATTCGTAGCTTCTTAAGATTGTACTTAAGGCATATACCTATGTAATACTCCTATATTGCTAATGCCAATCAAAAGCTGGCGAAAACACCACGGTGCAGATGAATATCTACCTCTCACTTAGATAGTGTACAGCGCATGCGCACCACACTCGAGTACACTGTGGAAGTGAGAGATCCGATATTCCCTATCTCGTTGTCTTCGCATACCCCCCACTCCCAAAAAGAGGCTGCGTTAGCAATATAGTAGTATTACATATATGACTTAGGGCAGTCTTGAATACAAGATCTGATTATGAATAACAGCCATAGTCAGCCCTTATATTTAATACGTCTTAAGTATAATCTTGAGATGTTATAATCCAATCACAGGTCGGTAATTCAGATTAATATTGGATATCATGAACAATCAGAAAACTGTATTACCACCTTAAGACAGTCTTTAACAAAAAATGAACCATGAATACTACCCACATAGTCCGTTCTTATTTTTTAAGATCGTCTTAAATGACTTAACATTTTAAGAATGTGGCTATGATCGAAGTTTTGCTACAATGTTTTGAAGCGCTTGATTAATTAATCAGAAGAAAGAATTTTACAAATTGACCAATCAAGAAACGCTTAAAGTATTTGTAGCATCGCGTTGACCGTACCCTGTCTTAAATATGAGAATCGACTATGAATATCGGCCTCTGATTGGCTTATAAGACCTTGTCTTAAGACTGTACTTAAGATAGTCTTAAATATAAGAACAGACTGAATACAGATCACTGGCCGGTATTCATAGTCAGTTCTTATTTTAAGATTGTTTTAAGTCGCTAATGCGGCCTTCTGATTGATTCATGACATCTTAAGACTGCTTAAGACGGTCTTAAATATAAGAACTGACTATGAATACCGGCCATAGTCGATTCTTATGTTCAAGACCGTCTTAAGTATAGTCTTAAGATGTCATGAACCAATTAGAGAGCCGTATTAGCGTCTTAAGACATTACTTAAGACGATCTTGAAATAAGAACGGACTATGAATACCGGTCAAGAGAGCCATATTAGCATTTTAAGGGGATCCTAAGGTCGTGCTGTTTTACCGATTATTTTCCAAATAAGTATTTTTCTAACTGCCTTTACAGAATTAAAAATCCTTCTCCACAATTAAAATATAAGCGATAATGTAGTCCAAACCGGTTGACTTCGTACGAAAAACGAAAAAAAGTTGGAAAATTACAGTTTTTTTAATCAGCTTCTGGCGTTGGCTTGTAACAATATTTGCTTTATATAAAAGTTTTGTACTTTGTACTTATAAAATTAGCTCGGTTTGGACTAGGAATTATAGGAACAACTAATATTAAGTACTTAGAATTAAGTTTAGATTACTTAATACAAAAGATTAGTTAGTTAGAAAATTTGTACATATGTGCGAGTGCGATATTGATGTAGTTAGTAACAAAGATACGTCAATGTGTCGGTATATTTTATCGGTAAAACAGTAATCTCATCGGAATTCGGGCTTCACTTTAGGATCTTCTTAAGACGTTATTTAAGACAGTCTTGAAATAAGAATGGACTATATGAATACTGGCCTTGGAACAAAATAAAAGGTTTGTCCGTGTTGCTTAAAATCCCTTAATTGAAATGTTTGTGCTCAAAACGAAACAAATATATATTTGGACGTTAAAAAGAAAGCGAAGTACTGAGTGTAAAAAGTGCTAGCAAAGCGAACAAACCTAAATATATATTCGGACGTTGAAAAAAGAAAAGCAAAAATTCTGAACGCAAACAGTGCAAGCAATAAAATCTGTTCGTGTTGTTTGAAATCCCCAAAAGTTTTTGCACTTAAAATGAGATTTAATATATAATCGGGTGTTAAAGAGAGAAAGCGAAGATGCTGAGTGAAAAAGGTGCAAGCAACGCGAACAGACCTAATATGAACAAAGGATAGAATGTATATCTTGAAATAAAATGAAAACAAAAATGAGCAGACATAAAAATATTCATCATTTCGTTGGTCAACAACCAGCGATTTTGCTCACTTTCATACTTTTCACTTCATTTCAAACTGCATAAACGATCCCCTGATCTAATTATGTTCAGCACAAATTTTATTTTCTACCACTTCGCATGAATTTTGATTGAAAAAAACATTCGCGAAGCAAGAATCAAAGAGTCTAAAATAGTTGAAAGACCAATGTTAATTTTTTTTTAATTTAATTGCTCAATATCCAATAAAAATCGGTTCTAGTTCATTTCTCAGATAACAAAAAATTAATATTTCTATCCGTGTCAATAAAATACTGCAGATTAGTTCGACAAATTAATTGTTTCATCATCAAAAATAAACTTCCCGATCTCTAAATGTAACAGGACAAGGTACTAGGTTTATATAAATGGGAATAATTTATGGATGCGCAATTCCTCAATAACGACGCATTTTTCTGACGAGGCACGTGTTGTCGTGCTTACATTGTACCTTTATACAACTATTCTTATTCCATTATCTATCATACGGCAACGTTACTTTTTTTGCAAGATTGTTATACTGTTGGATACTTCACTGTTTTGTTCGGTATTACATTCAAAAATCTGTCGGTGTGATTTTATATGCTTGCTTTTCTACCGTGAACGTTACTATTCAAAAGGAGAAAAAACGATACAAGCTCGCACTACAAACGGCAGAAAGGAAAGCATATAGTCGCGGAATAATATAAATCGGAGTTAAATACAAAATGAAATCTCTACTGCTGTCGCCGGTCTCGTGGTTTTCGGTGATTTCGTAGCAGCAGTTGTCCACATTGTTGAAAAATTGTCGAAATTCTTGCTAAGAGGGGCGCGACTTAATGGAATGATGATTGGACGAATGAAGAGATCGGTAGTAGTGAGGAAGAGTACCTGTGAAAAAAAATAAGTAGTCTACGTTGTGTATATGTATGCCGTGTATTTGTATAAATTACAAATCAGGTTTTACGTAAAATATATATTCATGAACATCTGTCAACAGAAAGATGGCTGAAGTAACAAAAAAACTAGGACACTTAATTTAAATTAATATTTCGTTTCTACAAAAAATATAATAGACACTGATAATGATAATATTAACGAATAGGCAAAACGCGACATTGAGAGAGATTGCCGCTATAAATTTCTTAAAGCAACGACGCGAAGATAAAGATTTCGATTGTGCGGCAACTCACCAGCGGTTACAACGCGAATTGCACAGCGTTCGCGAATGAGGATTTTCGTTAGTACGGCTGGTGCCTCTGATTTTGGCGACCACCACCTCCTCTTTGTTTGCCACCGTAGCCGGAGCCACCTGAAACAATATCGATATTGTACCGTTAGTCTTTTTACCCTTATAACACAAGTCTGTAGCTACAATTATACAAATATAAATATACAAGTTAATAACGTAGAACAGATCGAAACTCTTATAATATAACGCACGCACATCTCGATAAGAATACACTATGCTACTAACAACAACCAAGTACTACGAAAAAAGATATTACTACTGACAATAAATGTAAGAACAAAGAGGCTACAGGCTAAGGTAGTAAGCTGCATACTACTCGACTCCATATCCTTCCTTTTTGATATGCATCTCTCTGGGATTCTAATAATTCTTCCCCCTCTCCTTCTTTTTTGTTATTACAACAATGATTAAGCAACATGAACTTGTAAGCAAAAATGACAAAAGCAAAGTAAATAAAATTTTCTATTTTGACACTTCTACAGTCAAAATTAATCGAAATTTATATTGAGATTATATTTATCAGACTGTAAGTTTGGGGATTAAGTTGTTCTCATTGCAAT